GAGCCGTGAAAGGGATGGAATGAAGTTGATAACTAGGGTACATTCTGGTGGAACCCCACTGCCGTTGTGTCAATTCTTCCAGTGACCCTATGGAGGATTTCCAAGGTGGGAAATATGTATGGGAACCAACCATTTCATTTTTCTCCCAAGGATCAGTTGATAGGTTTGAACTGCTAACTTTGTGGTTAGCAAAGGAACCAACAGCACCACCAGAGCTCCACATTATGGTGGAAGAAGTCACATTTCTGAAAAGTGTCACGCTTACCTTGAGAAGCATTGACTCCAATGAACCCTAACAGGTAGAATGTACTTGAGCATAGATTCAAGGTCCATGGGATATGACAGAAGCTGGGCCAGGACAGGGATCTTGGACTATTGGGTACAATGAAATATCTCAAGGACTTAGGACCATATCTGACAATAAACAGGCATTCAAAATATATTTATTGAAGGGATGGATGATGAAAATAACCTTGCAGGACGACACTTTGTTCTAATAACTTGGCATTCGTGATGCTCACCTTTCTGATACCATTGCTGAAGACAAAATGGGTGCATAAGCAAATGTGAAGAAAGCTGGTGGTGCCCAGCTTTCAAAAGATATAGTATCTGGGATCTTAAAGGCTGGAAGATAAACAAGTGACCATCTAGCTGAGAAGCAACAAAACCCACATGGAAGAAGCACACCAACCTGTGTGGTCATTAGGTGTCGATAGAATCAGGTATAAGGCATCAAAGACCCAGAACAAAAAAATCCTATCATTGTGAATGAGGGGGAATACAGAGTGGAGACCCAAAGCCCATCTGTAGACAAATGTACATCCACTTACAGCAGGGTCACAAGGAAGAGACGAATCAGTCAGAGTGCAGTATAGTATTGATGAAACATACAACTTTCCTTTAGTTCTTTAATGCTTCCCCCCTGCCCACTATTATGACCCCAATTCTACCTTACAAATTCAGTTAGACTGACTAAACCAGAGCATGTACAAGAGGTACAGATAAGAGCTGGAAACACATGGAATCCAGGACAGATAACCCCCTCAAGACCAATGATGACAGTTGCGATACCAGGAGGGTAAGGAGAAGGTGGAGGGAGAAAGGGGGAACCAATTACAATGATCTATGTATCACCTCCTCCCAGGGGGCCAGACAACCTAAAAGTGGGTGAAGGGAGACATCTGTCAGTGTAAAACATGAAAAAATTGTAATAATTTATAAATTATCAAGGGCTCATGAGTGAAGGCAGGTGAGGGAGGGAAGGGAGAAATGAGGAGCTGATATTAAGGACTCAAGTAGAAAGCAAATGTTTTGAGAATGATGATGGCAACAAATTTACAAATGTGTTTGACACAATGGAGGTATGTATGGATTGTGATAAAAAGTTGTAAGAGCCCCCAATAAAATGATTTTTTTA